TGAAAATATGGCATGATCAACCAATTTTGAGTTTGTATCTTTTATATGATTAATGGGGAAGGACCAATGCTAAGATGATTCTATCTCAATGTCTGCTGATGAAGACTAACATTGGAAAGCACACTGCAGCTAATTATAGTGAGATTGAGGTTCTCCCTATCAACGTATGCTACTTAAAGTGTGTTAAAAATAAAACTGTATTTTCCTGTTTGCTTGGAACAGGTCCCAGTCCCAGTTATTAAAAAGTGCTTCTTGAGTGTCAGGTCATGAGGAATTCAACCATAAAATAAAAGTTGAAAAAATGATCAAGGTGTAAATTTCCTTGACAAAACCAGGTGGTTTAATGCCTTGGACCAGTCTCTACACTTGCACAAAAACACACCCTGTAAGAAGAACAGCCTTATTTTGGAAAGAAAAGCCAGTACAATCTGAAATCGGACATGTTTTCTATTCAATTTGCCCTGCAGATGTCTGTGAATACACTGTCATCTTGGTGTGTAAAATAGTACAATGTAAAAGAAAGAAAGAATAGACCACTGCATATTATTTGAAAAAAACAACTTATACTGTAGATGTTATTTTCTGAAAATATTTGAAAACTGCGCTAACCCTCGGAGATTTATTAGACCGTCTGTAGCAGCTGTGTGCTGTACCAAAGCAGAAGACATACGCTTACAGTTGTAGGAAGCAAATGTGTGCAAAGTTTTAATGGAAACAATTGGCTGCTGGGAGCCGCATCCAAAGTCATTTGTGATGAGCTTTGGTAAAATCGCCGGCTGAGTTTCATGAAAAAAAAATTTGTGCTGTGCTACATGGGAAGAAATTTTGTGCCAAGCTATGTAGGAGCCGAGCCCCTAAACAAAAATAATTCATTTGTTTAGTTTTAATTATTCTTTTTTTGTTTACTTGAATATTTGCCTGACTGATAATAAGGCAAAATGTACATTAAAGACTGTCATAGAAAAGAAATTGGGAGACTGTGGAACAAAAACCTCCCTAGCCCAAAATGAAACAACCCCGATTGTTGATTTCTATGATAATTATCTGAATAACCCAAAAAACTGAATGACTGTTCAGAGGAAAAAGTAAGTGTAAGGGGAGTGTACCAAAACATTTTTGTGTTTCATATAATTTTGTAAGAAGCTGAAATAATCACACACCTCAGATGTATCAACTTTTATTGTGAGATTTAAAATAGAATGTAACATGTTTCTATTGTAAGCAAGAAGTGGCAAGTTTGATCAACACCCTGAGAGGAAATTTTTTTACTTGGGTCTATTACTGAAACTAAAAAAAATATTTAAAAAAATGCCATCAGTAAGTGCTAAAAGCACATCCCTAAACTAACTTCTAAACTGCCCACTTTTTGTATGTATATATCAACTTAAGGGAAAAACACAAGTAAATGCTGAAATGTTTTTTTCTTTTAAAAAAGATAAGATTTTAACATTCATCTCAAACAAAATAATAACAGAAAATGCTCTATAGCGCAATATAACATGCCTGAAACTGGCCAGACATAATTCAATATACAAAAAAATTTCAAATGCTGACCTGCAAATTTTCCATAAATGCAGTTACCATTTATACCGGTCAATCCCGGGATTACATGAAACATACCCCTGTAAGGAAACAACAACTGCTGCTTTGTTTAACTTTTAAATTGAAACAACATTTTTTTAAAACACTGTTTTGATGCTAACATTAAAGTTTGGTTTAGATTATTTAGTGAATAAAAAAACAAAAAACATTCTATTCAAAGACTTGTTTTTTTATCATCAGTTTCTTATTTCTCTTTCAGCTTTAGGATTACGAAAACACTCATTGAAAATCATCAATGCCTTTGAGAAATTGAAAGGGAGAGAGAGAGAGAGGGGGGGGGGGGGGGGGGATTGGGAGAAAGGTCCAAAAAGGGGGGGGGGGGGGGGGGGGGGGGGGGGGGGTGGGGATTGAGAGACATGTCCAAAAATGTATGAAAGGAAGGGGCCTGGAGAGGTATTTTAAAATAAAATTTGTTTTCCTCAGTTACAAACCTATTGTTCAGATAATAATATAATGATGTTACAACTACAGTATGTGAAGTGGCCTATGTCTGTACTAGCAACTTTTTATTTGAAAAAGGTGAAATGGGGAAAGGAGGGGTTGAGGGGGGGGGGGCTCATACAAATTTCTAAATGAGTCATGTGAAGCTAAATAGATCAAATACCATTTTAAGAAGTAATAAAGTTATCCTCACAAATCAAATGTGCTATATGAACATAAATTTAAAAATAATAAGTGTTAAATTAATCAGGTGTCATTTTATGTCATTGGAGAGTTTTTAAAAATAATTTATAGCCTTACTGTTAAATTTTTGTGTGCTAATTTGAATAATAAATTCCTCATGAAGTATCCCTTACATTCCTAGAAGTCTGTATCTTTGTGTTTAATCATGAGATTAAAATAAAACAGACATAAAAGCTTTTAAATCACTAAATTATTGAAATGTATATTTCAAAAAGAACTTTGTTTTTCCAGAGGGCTGAAAATTTAAAGATAAGAACTAAATGAGACACAAAAAGACAATTTAAAAAAACATGGCATGAGCAATAAGACACCAATGAAACCATGAGCAGCTTGAAAGATTCAAATGCAAAGATGTGAATGACACAGCTCCCAGTGATACATTTATAAGCTCACACTGAACACACAGCAACATGAGGCATGAACATTTTGATGAAAAAAAAAAAAGCATGCAGAGATAAAATTGCACATATCACTACCAAGATCCAAAAGTATCAAGTACTGAAATCCGGGGACAGTGCCCAAGGACTTCAAAATGAAAGATTCATATAACAGAAACATTTACCTGTGCATTCCTCACACAAACACTAGAGCACATTATTGATACAATTCAGTGAGAATAAAAAATATATATATATAAAAAAAAAAATGTGTTTTAAATAAATTAAATGGAACTTTTCACTACAAAAAATAAATACTAAAACAAATATTTGTGACCCTCATCCGGTGAACTTGGTATATAAATATTTATATAGGTTAAAGTACAGAAATATTCAGGAAAGACTCTGCATTGGACAGGTTAAAACATAAAAAAAAATAAAAAAATTCAAAACTACTGAGGCGTCCTTAATTTAGTTTTGTACTATGTCTTAGTCAAAACTAATTGAAGTCAAAAATCTTTGTTAGCTATGACTTATAAAGCCTTTATTGCCAATGAAATATTCATAGGGCAGACATAAAAGCAGTAGGGTAGGTTTTCATCTACCACATAAGGATTCGTTGACAAATTTGCTTCTGACTTGTAACCCACTGAAAAGTAACAGTTCTATTCAATGAATGGTTCCATGGATCAAGTTTACAAAAAGTACAGCTTTTTAGAAGCTGATTATTTACAAAAGGCCTGCACAGCTCAACATGTAAGGGAAGGCCGTAATACTGTGGGCTGAAAGAAAATAGGACAGGGGGAAAGCTTTAAGAAACTAATTATAAAAAAGTGGCGGCCCTCGGGCCGTATGTTGTGCAGTTCTGATTTACAAGGTTTATAGCTTGACCCTTATTTTAATCTAAAGTATTTATATTTCTAAACATTGAGACAGGAAAAATATATCAGATTTGCTGAGATTAAATTTCTTGAACTCAATTTTATTTTTTCTGTAAAGTCCTTTTTAAAAAAAAACATAAATCAAACTGCATATTTTATGAACATGGCAAATATCTCATTAAATTACTGACATTGTTAGTGATGAAACAAAATGTGGATATCTATGATTTGGCATGGTATATTCTAACTCAACTTAAACAACATTTCTAAAGGAAGTGAGACAAACTGTCAGACTGGTGGCACTTTGAACAGATATAGTTAAACTTGCTCACTATTGTGCAGTGCTTTAACTCATCTACACAAGTTCTAAATATGACACAATTTAATTAATGGATCAATTTACAAGAACACAGGAATGTGTGCTCATACAACTACACTATATAATACTTAAGCAGAAAATAAAATATACATTGACAATGAAATTGGCTACTGATCACTTGTGCACTTAATACAATTTGCAAAAAGTATTTTGGCAGAAAAAAAACAACACCTATTTAATTTCACAACCCTGAACAGAGAAGTTTAAAAAAAAATTAAAAAATGCTCATGTGTTAGCTTGTCAAATTGAAGTTTGCCAGAAACACGAAAAATATTTATAAATAAACAAAAAGAATTAATATTGTCATTTTTATAACATCGATTTGATTTCTCTTCATTTATCAAAATTGTGATAAAAATTGCCACAAGAAGTCATCCATGTTGTATTTGGGTAGGAATATCATACTGTACATACACAATTATTTTGTACACAGGCAGACGTGACGGTTGTATTTATACACAAGTGGGTATGGCAGTAAAGAAAACTCAGCATATAATTTTCAGCTATCAACCGACATGTACTAACTTTTCACAACAGTTACAGTTCTGGATTTTACTGATTAAAGCTGAGACAATAAATAGTGGATATACCGACAGCCCAGGTGATTCTATCTCCCTTTATGATGTTAGCCAATAACAGGAAACAAGCTGTGAGCTCAATGTTTGTCAATAAGCCAGTATTTGCCTGCATGTAGATATCATGATACATTTTCTGTCGGTCAGGTGCGGTGTCCATGGCAATCCAGTCTTTTAGCATTGCTTGCTGAAATCTAGCCTTGATCGATTTTTATTAAGAGCACAACACTAGCCATGTCAAACTGAATTATTTTTTCCACAAACAGTTCTCTTCTTTTCCTATTGTCTATAACAAAACATGGCACACTGAATTAATATTTGACTGGCATAGTTTTTCCAAACATTCAAGGAAAAATGAACTGTTTTTAAAGCATTTTATTTTCTCCCCTTGAATTATGTCCACACTTAAAGATTACTTTTTGATGCAGACCCAGTGAATCAAAGAGTTCCTGCAGCTAAACTGTATCTAGATTTGATCCAAAGTTTAACCAGAGTCCCTGCAACACACGAACTGAAACTCATCTGATTTACCAACATATTGGGACTTCATCATCAGATAGAAAACAGCCACTGAAGATCTACTTCAATTTCTTCAGCCCAAACTGTAAAATAAATAAAGATGACCGAATGTGAAAATCATGATTTGAAAATAAATAGAATTTACGTTTCATTATTGAGTTATGTACGATATTAGAGCAAGGTAAAAAGCATGAATTCATAAAATGGAAAAGATAATTTTGTTAAAAAAATTGATTCTTGGCTGTTCAGTGCAGTCTTTTAAAGTTGTTATCCCCATGAAATAAATGTGCAAATTACACTAAAAAATCTGGTAAAAGCTTTTTTTCATTATTATTTTTAAATAGCCTAATTTAAATTATATATTCTTTATGGCTTACAGCTTTTTCTACAGCTAATTCATATTAAAGAAAATGTCGTATTAAAATTATGATGGATCAAAAGAAAGGATGCAAGGTCTGTTTAAACATTTACTTACAAGGACTCTGAAATCACATTTTGAGAGTCGTACGGATTCCTGAACGAGATGACTGTCGTCTTTGGGTAGTGACTGGATCACCACTTTCAGGAAGCAAACGAAGGCCAGGAATGTTGAATATAGAAGTTGCTGGGAAAATAATCAAGTTCTTTAAATATATGTTTGGTTTGTTATTCCATTGTTGTCATGTGCTATTATTCATGTACGCTAAAAAAAAAACTGTCTTTAAACTCATCCTCTATGTAAAAAAAATCTTTTAAACTCATATTCTTTATAAACTGTCTGTTCAAGATTCTATAATTCTAAAATCAATACCTTCATCACTGTCACTCTTATGTGTCCCTAACCCAAATCATTAATTCACTGTCAATAACCTAGATCACTTTTGGATTGATTGGGCAGATGTTGGAAGTTAAAAAAAAACAAAAAACAACAAACTATTAGTTCAATTGATGTCCAGATTCAAATCTTTGATCGATTGGTTTGTTAGTTTCCTGATAACCCAAAGAGCTGACATTCCACAAACTAATTTTACTTGAGACAATTTTTATCTATTTAATGTTTAACAGAGCTTTATTTTTACATATTCTAAAATAAATTTTACTGACATTCCCATTTAAAATTTTCTGTTCAGTTCAAAATCTGAAAATATGATATCCTTTTCACAGAATGCTCAAATGATTCTGACTTGCACAAATATTCTAGCCCCTAAATCAAAGTTTTTTGTTACAAGCATACATGAAATATTTGACAGTGGAGCTTTTAGGGTATATAAAGTAGAAACCTTACCGGTCTTTGGTGAGAACTAAGTTTCCACAATCATATTTACTTTAACCAATAACAGCGTGCAAGGGTTTTGCCTCAAGGACTTTGGTTTTACTTGCCCCCTAAAGGAATTCCCTTATATCAGCAGTTCTCAACCTGTGGGTCGTGAACACTTTGGGGGGGGGGGGGGGTTGAACGACCCTTCCCCAGGGATCGCCTAAGACCATCAAAAAACAGATAGACAGGACGTAGCAACAAAAATAATTTTATGGTTGGATTAACCAATAACAGCGTGCAAGGGTTTTGCCTCAAGGACTTTGGTTTTACTTGCCCCCTAAAGGAATTCCCTTATATCAGCAGTTCTCAACCTGTGGGTCGTGAACACTTTGGGGGGGGGAGGGGGTTGAACGACCCTTACACAGGGATCGCCTAAGACCATCAAAAAACAGATAGATATGAAGTAGCAACAAAAATAATTTTATGGTTGGGGGTCACCACGACATGAAGATCTATATTAAAGGGTCGCAGCATTAGGGAGGTTGAGAACCACTGCCTTATACTATGACTTGTAGAGGTTTACAAAACCTTTCTTTTTAACCATTCCCAACACAGATCTGCACAATGAATTTGCTGTAAATCTACCAAAGGTGAAGATTAGTCTTTCATTAGAAAGTTTTGCAATGATTTGTAATAAACTTGATGAGTACTCACCATCTGACAACTCATGTATTCTTGGAGGCAAGTCTTGAAAATATTCATGTCTCTTGGCTGCTGAGGCTGAGATTCTCATCGGAGGCTGCATCTAAAATATTAAGTGGGAACTTTCTGTCAGGTCAGATAATGTACAAGCCCATTTATATAGTTCAGCAGTCGAAATCGACCATGATCCCCTTAAACATTCTATTTATGCCAATTCTGAACTTGGCTGTGGGGGCGCAGATGGCTGATGAGACCGATTCTGGCATGAAATGTTCTTGTGTTGTAAGAGCAGGGGATGACATTCACCAATGGAGTTGGGGGGGGGGGGAGAAGAAGAAGCAACATGATAATGACTAGACTAAGAGAAACAACACAGTTTGGGATAGACATTTACCTGGAGAAATTTAGCTGCCAACTCTTCTGCATGTGGCACATAGGAAAGTTTTGGAACACAGCATGCAAGGGACTGGCCAGGATGCTTGTCCAGTTTCTCTAATGATGAAAAAAGTGATCATGAAGTTATGCTGATGGCAGAGGAAACAAATGTACCGGGCATACATTTAATCTTGATATCCACGTGGTGCATCTAGTCAAGTATCACTTTTATCCATGTGACATTTTCTCCTCCTATCCTCGAGACATTTTACCCTTCTATCTACGTGACATTTTCCCCTTCTATCCATGTGACATTTTTTCCCCAGGGAAACGTAATGTTATGAAACATTAAACTTAATAACTTTTGTCAAGACAATTTTTATTTTGATTGTATTTGCAATACAGGAATCTTTATTATACCAGAGCTGGCACTATCAAGTGATGAATTACCATTAATCGCATCTGAATTGATATCAAAATGGCCCTCTGAGTCTGTATTTTAACACAATTGCTTTTCATCAGCATAAAAAAAAACAACTAAAAATTCCATAAAACTTGGACTTTAAACAATGAATCTATTTTCATTTAAAATGTGTGGTTTATTTACTTAGGCAGGAAAAAAAAAGAGGCTACAATGTGAACAGGCTAGAAGGAGAGCATTCATTTTTGTTTTGTTCTTATTGCTGTCCTATAGATATAAAGTGTTCAGCTCTTTAAAAAAAATATTTCATTGTTAAAAACATGATTGTGACCTGTTGCTCGTCTAGCCAGGCTCCACTCTGTTTCTTGTTGCTGGTCTAGCCAGGCCTCACTCTGCTTCTTGTTAAGTTTACCACTTCTTAGTTGGATAAAAGATTAGGTCTAACCGGTCTATTTCATTTGATAAAATAGTTTGAATAATGGAACTTACTGAGATCGTAGTTTGCAAACTTGGTAACACCCTCCCAAGTACGTTCTGTGGGAGTGCCCAGTACTTTGAAGATCTGGTTCAGCTGGTCAAAGGCATCTTTCATACCTGGAAATGTTGCTTGGCCTGAGATCATTTCAGTGAAAATGCAACCAACACCCCTGTAGGAAGTGATACCCAAACAAAAGATGTTACGTATACATTCCAAACCAGGTTAAATCAAGATACCTTTATACTTTATACATTCCAAACCAGGTTAAATCAAGATACCTTTATACTTTATACATTCCAAACCAGGTTAAATCAAGATACCTTTATACATTCCAAACCAGGATAAATTAGACAGACACAGCTATAGATGTCCATATTCATTAGACAGACACAGCTGTAGATGTCCCTATTCATTAAACAGACACAGCTGTATGTTCCTATTCATTAAACAGACACAGCTGTATATGTTCCTATTCATTAAACAGATAACTGTAGATGTTCCTATCCATTAGACAGACACAGCTGTAGATGTCCCTAATCATTAGATAGTTACAACTTTAGTTGTGCCTTAAGTTTTTTTAATATCTGGGATATCTTTATAATCTGTAGGGGAGGAGACTTGTGATCTAAACGTTGCCCAAAAGTGTTTTAGTCCTGCGACAGTCGTGACAGGAACTTTGTGAAATGAGGTTGTGTTTTATTTCTCTCTGATAGCGAGCTGTGTCATAAATGTGTATATGGAATTAACAGTCTGTGAATTTACATTAGATATTAAAGTTGCATTTATTATCAAAAAGGACTTGAGTTGATTCAGTGCTAGTACGACTTATTGCAATGTGTGAAAGAACTTGGTGAATCAACCAATCTGGTATAGAACAGAAGTTTGACCCCTACCACATATCCAAAGAGGTGGAGTATTCTGTGGAGCCCAGGAGCACATCAGGAGGGCGGTACCATAATGTAACCACTTCATGTGAGTAGGTGTGACTGGGTATACTCTTGGCCCTTGCAAGTCCTAGAGAAACATAAGGCCATACAGTTAACTCACAACCAATATTTACTCTACTTGCAACCACACAAAAAAACAATAACATCATTACAGACAACTAAACATCCTCATATCTTTCAAGATATACACTATTATACAGCATACAATAGTGACTGTTAGATATTCAAACTTGATGGTAAATGATCATTTTCATAGTTCTCTTTACTATGTGGTTGGTTTTATCATTGTCTTTGGAACAAATGACCATTTTCATTGGAATGATGAAATAACTATTTGTTAAACATATTTCTATGAAAAATAAAATAAAATAATTGTTTATAATGTTCTGATTTTCATAGCACAAATATTTCTTTCAACTAAACAGATGATTTGAAAATATTAAAATTAGACTAGAATAGTATACATTTTTATTGATAGGTGGGAAGTTTTCCTCAGACTTCTCCAAGCTTTAAATCGGACACCTTCTTTATGCACCAGCGAAAGGTACAGAGATTTTCACTTTAGAAACACAAACTAAAATTTCAATGATTTCTTCATGAGAACATAAGATCCATAAACATGTTTTATTTTAACCCTATGCTGCCGTTAGCGGCTGCCGTCGCCTCCCAAATTCACACCATTGCCAGCCTAAAATGGCAAGTCAGGCTGATGGACATGTGATGCTCTTTTGGGCCACCAGCAACTAAACTACCATACATTCCTATGATAAAATATGCTGTTGCACTCAAGGGTGAAGGTGTTATTTAATAGAGACATCCTGTGTTTTTATCTTCTTTCGTTAACAAAGTTACGAGTTCAAAGTTCAGCATTACTTTCTAAGCTCATTTGCAATAAGCTGCTAAGCTCACCAGACTAGCAAGTTTAAATAATGAAAAAATCAAACAGATGGATGTAGAATCTATTAAAATTAATGGAGAAAGCATTAGTGATAATGTTAGAGTTGCAGGTATATATCTGAGACAGATTATAAATAAACGTAGATAATTATACAAGTGGGCTTCGATGACCATGGTGACTGCTGGCGAATTTAAAAAATGCAGCGACAGTCAACTTCAGATATTATAATTAAAAGGTTTAAATAACCTTATTTTTTATTGAGAAAATAACATGTCATTCCTTTTGATATTTAATAAAAATTTAAATAAGATGACATTGCTAATTTCTTTTCCTTTTTTTAAAAGATGACATATACATTTTAAAATGGAATTATGTCCCTTTCCTTAGGAGGGCAAGTTTTTAACTTAAATTAGATTAGGCAGCTAAAAGTTCATTCTTCAGACCTACCAAAGTCAGCCAACTTCAATTCTCCGATTTCACTTATCAACAAGTTTTGTGGCTTTAGATCTCTGCAAGATAAAGACAAGAACATCATTTAAACTAGACAAACAGCAGGACATCATTTATACAAACTACTACTCTCTTATATTTGAAACTCATCACTTTACACAAGTACATGGCGTGGACCGTTGGCTCCCAGGCACCATGAAACAACAACAAACACAACCAACCCCCCCCCCCCCCACCCACCCTTTTCCAGGTAAAATCTAGACATGTATTGTACTGGGCTAAGGCGTTTCGCAAACTTGTAAAGTAATATTTTTCTCAGAATACAAAGCACGCTCAGACCAAGTCACCCAGGAATTGCAAATTTTAAAACAATGGAAAATTGATGATTACAGTACATAATACACTTGGATCAATATGGATGGAGAATACAAACCAACCAGGAATTTTATAACTAAAATCAGGATTTCACGCTAGTAGCAGAAATATAAAAGGGCAGGCTATGATTGATTACTTGTATAGGCTTGCGTCCATGCTATTTTAGCATGCTCACAGAGCTCTGATGTTATAAAATCAATTTAAAGAAAAATGTTATTAAATGTCTCTTAAATGATTTTTTTATCATTTTTAATTTCCCTCAAAGACTGAGGCAAAGTGTTCCATAATTTAGACGCTATAGCTTCAAACGGACCCACTCTGTATGACTTCTTTCTGTGTCCATCCACAATGAAAACTCTCAGTAGGGACTGTGATGAAGATGCACTATGCGTAGCCGAACACTTCTCAGAAGAAAACAGCTAAAAGGCAGACCTAGGCTTAGATGGTTAGATGCCAAGGGAAAAGATCTACAGCAGCTAGGAATCCATGCATGGAAAATAAATGCATCAGTTTGGTCTGAGTGGCAGGAAGTGGTGAGGCAGACCAAAGCCCTGCATGGGCTGTAGTGCCACAGAGATGGATGTTACATAATACACTGTTCAATAACACCCATTATATGTATAAGGTATACATAGATTGCATTCTATGAACTAGCTTCTCAGCCTTTCAATAGGGTTGTTCAGCTTTCCAAAATAAAATAAAAAGGTAATCTGAACATATCTTATGGCAGCAATAATGTTGTACATTCTGCTAGTTTGATATATTTTATGTCTACTACACGGGCTTAAAACAACTGACCTGTGTAGGATTCTGCGTTGATGACAAAAGGCCAGGCCCCGAAGAAGCTGATATAAAAACAACTGGTGAAGGAATGAAAAATTAATTAAATTAATTATTGTTCTACCGACTTTCAAATCTTCTATAAACCTCTTTGGGTAACTATCTTGTAACGCAGTAATCCTCTAACCTAGGGTTCTGCAATCTACAGCACACTTGAAAAGACTTGAAATGCAGAGTCTTTTTTTTTTTTTAAATGCATCTTGTAAGAAAGACTTTTAGTTTATGTTACACTGAATGAAATAGGAAACCTATTTTGGCACAATATGAACAAAAGGTTGCCAAACCCTGCTCTAAAATAAATATTTAGAAGAAAAGTTTTTCCAATAAAATTTAATTTGGAAGAGGAAGGAAGTGTAGAGCATCCAATGATAAAAAAGCAAGGCTAATAATAAATCAACGATACCAGTAAAAGTATAATTTATTTTGACTACATTTAGGACTGAATTTTATTAAATAAACTATCTTATTCTATTAATGAAATATTATTCTGGCGTTTTAAAAGAATAACTTCAGTAAATAAGGTGTCTAAAACACCGGTGGGTGTCAGAAATTCAAAGCAGTGCATACCTTGACATTAGATGTATTCAGGCCACCAGGGTGTCTCTCCAAGTATTGACTTAAGTCTGTGTGCTGATAGGAAAGCAATTTTATCTTCTTAATTCATAACTTATAATAATTATAAAAATTTATATTTATTTTTTATATATTATTATTGTGTATTCAAAAAAGGTCATAATTTCAGCCCCCCCCCCCCATATCTTTAAACAATTTTACTTATAGTTTTACTTATAATCCTTTATATACCCAGTAACTCTAACATACCTCTTAAAATGGGCATCACCATACTTACAGAATTTGCCATTATTTATTTATTTATTTAGGCATTTTTATATAGTGCTTACCTTAAAGCTCTAAGCACTTTACAATTATTAAAAACATGTAAACTAACTAAAATAAAAATGAGACATTAGGATAGTAACTACTATACTATAGAAACAATTAAAATGGCTTTAAAACGAGGACACTTTGGTACGTTTTGGCCTATATTACAGGATTAACCCGAGACAGAAAATGAGGCAGGGCAAGGAGGGTGCATCACAGGTCATAGGCGGACCTAAACAAACACAAAGGGTAAGGTTGAAGAGACTTACCACATATTCAAATACAAATGTCAACGTCTCTCTTGTGTGTATAATGTCATGAAGGGTCACAATATTTGCGTGGCGCAAGCCTTTCAGTAAAGAAGCTAAAGGTAAAATTATAAAATAGCATGATATAAACATCCTTAACTTTGATAATATCAATATATTGAGAGATATATATATAAATAGTAGGCAGATACATATGACATGCTTGACGCAATCCACCAACATTTCAAGTCATAAGTCACAGATGAGTGTACTAACGCTTGGGGATTACTGATAAAACTTTTTATAAACTATTGGAAGCAGTTGGGGATAGCCTAAAATCATATTCATTCAAACTATTTGGTTCAGAGCTTACTCTTAATTTTTTAAATGATATATTTTTCAGTTTTATGTGTTTTCAATTTTTCTGTACATATTTAGCATCAATATTTGAGCTTCCTGCCAGATGTTACTTATATGTCCCATTCAGCAGTGATGTTTGAAATTACTTTGTGAAAGTGATGTTTGAAATTGCTGTGAGAAACTTGTGTGTGAGGATGCTGTGCGACATTGAGGTTTGAAATTCCTTTTAGAAATTGCTGATTTAATACTTTGCCTATAACTGTCATTAAGGCTGATTATTGGCTGTTAAACCCCCTTATGTGGTGTCACTGAGATATTATCGGCTGCTCGTAAAATCATCTTTCAAAATGTGAATGATTTAAGGTATATTGGTTAAGGGGAATTCACTCTATATAAATGAGTTTCCTGCCTATTCCCTCTACTATCAGTGTGTTAACACACCTTTATCTAGCTTTTTTTTTTTTAAACTGATAATTGTGTGTAAACATTTTCCCATATCTTTTTTTTACCGCCAAAATGTCTGATGCTGGAGAATGTCTCCCTCTAGATTGCAAAATCAACACAGACTTTCTTTATTGGAATTATTTCAAATGGATTAAAATGAAAGCAATGATTTCAGAGATAATCCACATGCTAATAATGATAGTATATGCTTTAGCGATGATGGCGAGATAAGAGTTAGATATTGACAATTTTAGCCCTTATCTTAGTAGTATTGTTTCAGACCAATTCATTTCGGAAAGGGAGGAAATTGAACAGAAGAGACAAATACTATATTCCAAAGACCTACTCACAAGTTATTCAAAGACATTTATGTTTGTGTATTTTCTGGAGTAATAATTAATTTAAAAAATGGATTTAATAACTTCAAATTGAAAAGGATTTTTTGAACTCATTTTGGGCCTCCCCTTTGTATTTTGTAGGACAGACATTTTAAGGTACTGAATGAAAAAAATTAAATTTTCAATATACCTATAAACTGACATTTTCTAAAAGAATAATATTTCTATTATCTCAAAAACTTGATCTAATGAGAGTTTGAACAATTTATGGAATATTAATTTGGGTTGAATTCAGAAGTTTAGTAAAATGTACTCACTCTGTACTGGTCAAGATCGAAATCAACATACATAATATAAAAAACAAATTCTTCTCATGCCATAAGATAACTTGTCCAATGTACTTTCAGAAAATACATACTTGTAAGGGTCTCTGAATTCATCAAGTATGAGATTTTGTCATTTTTGACAAGCATATGAAAATGCTAAAAATATGGATTAATATTACAGAAAAATGGACTTGCCAGTTATAGGGTTAAATTATTACTTGAATATGCTGAGGGAAACTGACATGTAATATTCCAGTGTGTATCTCGTAAGCGAAATCGGTGCAGACATTAATAAAAGAACAACTCCAAAACAAACCTTCTCTTATGGCTGTGAAAGGAGCTCCTTCTTCCTCCTGCAGGCGAATCTCTTTGAGAGCAACAACTTGGTTAGTTAAACTGCTGAACCCCTTGAAAACAGTGGCATAAGAGCCTTCCCCCAGTTGCTCTAGCTTGCTGTAAGAATCTGCACGACCGAATGCTGAGGGACCCTGGCGAGCAACAGATTGTGATCACTTAACAGACGAATGCTAGATATGATATTCATTTCAGGAGAACTAAGCAATGGTGTTGTCTCGGTGGCTATCAAGTAAAATTAAGCATGCAATTTCATAAATGTAAATAATTTAACAAGGAACTTTTTAGCAGCTTCATTTAAATTCTAAAAACTTAATCTTACTGAAATTTCTCAAAATAACATAAGATTTATATCACATTTAAGTAGGGATTATCACACCATTAGCTAACTTATTAAAAATAAAAAGTTTTAGTAACTGTTATAAAAACCATATCTGAGATTGAACTATTAAACCCTAAGGAAATATTGAACAGTAAATCTGTTGCACTGGTGTTGTAATTTAAACTTAAAGTTATTTTTGTATTAATAAAAGGAGTCCATTGTATACTGACCCCAAAACTTACAGCCCTCTTATATATAGAATGCCGACTGTACACATGTCCTTCAGATTTGGGTCGTGGCTGTTTCTCTGTGATTATGGTCTTTGGAGCCGGCGGGAAGGGGGCCCCACCTAACATGTCGCCGGCTGAATGGTGTCTCTTAACAGGAGTGTGCCTGCCTTCTAATGGGGGGAAAAAAAATGATAAAATATTTGAAGAATAATTTTTATATAATGCCACCATAAAATTCTTACCCATGACTTTTCAAATTCAATTAAAAAATATATGTATCATGCTTAAGATTTTTTTTTAAAATGCTGGCTCCTGACTTATTTTTACTTTTAATGTTTACATTTTATAGGAAGTCACATTTTCTATAATACCTAATTATTCCAAGCATCAAGGTCAGCTTGACATACTATTTTTATAAGATAAAAATGGCAGTTACAAATATATCTAATTTTAGAAGAGTCAAAGCAAAGCTATCTTGATACCACATATTACTGATTATTAACAACTACCTACATTAAATATATTTTTTATTTTTTAAAAATTCTTAATATTTTTTAAATTAATTTTTTTTTGGTTTAAAGTCCTGAATTTTATTTTAATACTGATATTAATCTCAAGAATATATATTTATACATGTGTCATATGAAGAACGTTGAGACTGATTTTAATACTAAGAACAATGTGATTTATGCAACCTTATTTTAAAACAGAAAACAATCAATTCAGTTATAAGCAATGTTCCCTCTAAGGTTTGCTGGTTTGTGTGAAAAATCTTAAAGTTGTGTGCAAAGTTTTACAGCATCAATTTTTTTGTGCGTAAAATTTTACAGCCCACAATCACACACTTATATGGAAATTTGCTGCGCAGATACTCAAAACTGCTGCGCGGCGTCTGTGAGTGAGCTGTGCGGTGTCTGTGAGTGAGCTGCGCGGCCTTAAAGGGAACATTGGTTATAATAAATTTGAAGGAGAAATAAAAAGGGGTGTAGGGAAATTGAGGCTTTTCTTTAATGTAATTTATGTGTGACAATAAAAAAAAAAAGGCTAATCCATGAAATATTGACATTGCAAAGTGTACCTGGATTTCTTGGAACAACTACTTGAGCAGGACCACCCTTAGTTAACGTACTTGACTCCCTACTGGAGTTGCCATTAGTCACAGAATGACCACCATTTGTTGTAGGGGGTGTGTCTGGTGCTGATCTTGTCTTCTGAGGATAGTAGCCATTGCTGGACGACATAGACTAGGGAGCAACAAAATGAAATGTAGCAAAAAAGCTATCCTCACCCCCACCCCCCTTCCCTCAACCAACAAATAATTCCTTGCTATATTTCTTTTTTAAATATTTTTGTTATAAACTTTAGTAATGGGTTTTATAATTTTGTGAGGTTTCCATATTTCCCTAAAGCCAATATTTCAGAATGCATAGTGAAACTTTGCCACTTCACAATTAATTTTTTTTTTTAATGCTACTTTAATCACACACCAAGATTCTCATTGTGTTATATTAAAATAAGTTATTTCAAGTTGATGGAACATTGTACTTTGTTTCCTGTTAACAAGTTTTAGACCAGTTAATAAAACCATGTTCTGAACAACAATGAAATGCTTTTTCTTATTTAACCCCACTAGCATTTAACTAATGCAAATTACATCAACTTACAGGAAAAACACTGTCAATTTCATTGTCACTCTCATGTATGGTTTCCTCCTTACTGATTGCTAAAAAAGAAAGAAAAATATGTTGATGTAGATAAGTTGTTTTGTGGGCCAGACTAAAATGTGACGAGTTTACACTGTGTCGGAAAAAAAAAAGAGGGTTACCCTTTTGATGATGAAAAACACTAGTAAATTTTCATCAATTTTAAAAATCCAACTCATTTTAGTCATGAGATACTTGTCAAAAATAATGAAAGTTCCTGGATAAAATTTAACATTGTGTTAAAATTAAAATGAGTTCCCCCACCTTTTTTTTTGGTGCTAATTTTTATGTGAAGCCTGGTGAGCCTAGCCCTAGGCTGGGGTACCACGATATATAAGACCACTTTAATAATAATAATTTTTTTAAAAATTGATAACTATTACCATTAGTTTTCATCACTATACAAAGGGTTCCTTTTTTTTTTATAGACACAGTGTAAATATTAAAATCTTGACTTGCATTCAACTTTTGATTAAAAAAGCTTAAAATACAGCGTCTTTTTAAAAAAATAAATCAAATTATTACGCTCAATCAGATAATAATTAATTCATATTTACCATCCCTGGACCCTGCCATATGAAATGAGATAGTTTAATTACAAAAAAAAAAAGAAATGAATACAATAAATAACATTAGAATAGATTATAATCTCGATTGCTAAGGGATGTCTTAAAAATCATAACTTTTACTTCCCATCGTTGTAAAAATAACCCATTACACATTTTAAAGCCTTTTGGATGGGTGAAAGGAATACTAATCTGCAGGGAAAAAACTTTCAGGATATCAAACAGTTAAAATAGACTGAAGAATATGAAGTCAAAAAAGTATTTGTTTTTTATGACTCTGCAGTTCTGACATATTAATCAATAAATATATCACCCAAAATGTTATTGTGATTGCAATATTAAAATACAAAAAAGGAGAAATAAAACTATAAAACTCATATAAATGCTATTTAAAAGAAGTACTTACATAACCTCCCAAAACTTGCTGATATTCGACGCCTCAATTTCTTTAAACGACTTACTTGAGTTTTATCTTTACCTGTTGAACACACATAAAAATTATTTTTAGTAATGAAAAATAAAACCTGCATTTAAATTTATGTAATTGACTTGTATATATCACTGCAACAGTGTTGAATTTAGAGAATTACCATTACTGCTATTGCAGAGTACAGGCACTACAAAGTTTAGCTTAAAAGTACAGAGATGTCAACATTGTAAGAATGAATCAGCTCAAGGAAACTTTAGCGCTGTCAAGGGTTTGAGAACCACTGTTGTTAATGTGAACACTTTTTGGTCTGTGAGTGTTGTCATGTGTTGTATTATTGCGCCTTCGGATGACAGGTTAAGCATATAAAAAAGAGCGTGAATATTATGCATGAGATCAAGAGAGTTCATAGGAATTGATTATGGAGAGAGTTCAAGACAAAAGTTAGTGAATGATCGCTCTTGTGTTTTGAATAGGCTATGCAATCAAGTGGATCTTGGTGAAAGGTTCATGGAATAAAGATGAACCAAGTGTTGGTGTTCTAGTATTTGCTGTGCCTGATTCTTTGTGCAAAGGGTGACAGTGCTATGGTGTACCCAAGACAACGTTGTCAAAAATACTCAAAGTATTTTTATTTGAGAAATCAGAGTATTTCAAAAAGCACCACAAAATGAAGTTGTTCAAAGTAAACTCAGGGAACTCAGGAAACTGCTTTATTCAACTACAAAGTCAATGGAAAATATCAAATACTTATTAGTGTAATGTGTAAAAGTGGCAGGGTTTTTACTGAAGCCGAACTTGCTGCTCGCGTTTGAATCAACTCATTGAAGTATATTGTTCAAAAACAATTTTGATATTACAATGAGATTATATTTGACTACTAATTTTTTTTAAAAAAATTTATTTAAAAAAAAATAATGTAGGAATATACTAAACCTGCGAGTGACACTATGAATTTTTTATGGTGTCATATATTTCATAATTACCATAGTATGCTTGCTAGATAGTTTACTATGACTTATTTCTATTGTGCAACCCCCCCCCCCCCATTCCCCATTTCGACAGGTTATTGCTAACAATTAACATTACCCTTAAACCTACTTATCCCTAAAATTTTACACCTAAATTTACTCCGCTTAATTTGGTGCAAGCTCAAGCACACAAAAAATATCCCAAAATGGAAAGAGAACAATCAACAGCAAGCCAAACATACACATAATTTTCATTCCATTGCTTTAAAAGAAATTAAAAGGAAATGCATTACTGTAAATTATCATTGTAGAGCTGACATTTTTTTTGTTGTTGAAGTAATTCATGGAAATAAAGCTAATGAAGAAGTCATATTGTTATTGAAGGTTGCCGCTGTCCTAATCTACTGTTCATCAAATATTAATAAATATTTGATTTATTTTTCTCTTGAAATAAAAAAAAAAGTAATGTCATATTTTACTAAATTTGATTGTACCAACAATTTATAATTCGTGTGCATCAGCCACTTTTTACTACATAAAATAAAAAATAGATGATGCCCCTATTCATTCCTTTTTAGCAACAGCATACTCTCTTTCTAGATATTCTTTGGTACCCTATTGCTTACACTGGCATATTATTTCATAGGGTAGCATATGATCGGGTTATATACTTTTTAGGTGTTTCCATCCCAATACGGGGGGGGGGGGAATATTTTTAACAGGGGTATATTTTGAACAAATAGGTTTTGAAAACAAGTACAGTGTATACTTGTGATGTGAATCAGACTTATGGCAAGGGCCTAAGTGTGCAGCACATGAAAAAAGGTTTTAGAGCTTTACACTATGGTAAATCTCTTAGCAGTTCCTAAGCTGTTTTGTTGGTTCAATGAAAAAGGCACTTGAAAATATGAATCAGATTATACAAAAATTGCATGTAATCATAAAACAGTTTAGTGAAACAGAAAGGAAATTATATTTTACAGGAGAAGTAAAGCCAAATCATTATACATTTTGGCTTTTCTCTATATTATTAATACATCATTAGCCTAGCCATGCAATTGGCTAATGGTACAACTATGGAAGAACAGAAAGCCACTACAATTAGTTCATGGTCATTGAAGTCAAAAAGGAATAAAAAAAAGTGTAAGAAAAAAATGAAACAAAAATTGTAATTTGACCTAGGCCAAAATTGCCAGTAAAATCGCTCATGCTGGTAAAATATTGTTTTAGCAAATTTAATTACTTTTACATCAAAATAGTGAATTTAATTCCTTATTTTAAGCATAATATTAGTAAATGAATTATTATAATATATATCTATAAGAAACTACACTAAAAATTTCAAAGTTGTTATATATTAATGAAACTTATATCATTAGAAAGGACTCAGTATTTCCTTTCCATTGATACCTATTTTATCTTTCTATCTTAATTAAAACAAAAGTTATCGCATTTTTAGTGTCAGAATTTTTCCTTACATAGCCTTAGTAAATATTTTCCAAAATTCTGTGACCGAAAAAAGACATCTTTGACACTCAAAATGCGATAGTTTAAAAGCACAGTAAAAGCTTTGAAATTTGCAACGCATTTCAATTAAGTTTATGGCTTTAATAATAAATCATTGTTATGCAAATACTACAATAAACATATTAATGTGTGCGATTTGACGAACAGAGGGTATGTAAATTTCATTAAAAACGTAGCGCCTGCTCTCAATGCTCAAAATGCCATAACTTTTTTTATCTGTGAAGTTAAAGCCTTCATATTTTCAACACAGTTTAATTAGGTATTGGGCTTTTATAACAAGCCATTTCCGTATTAATATTTTGACTAATGTATTAATGCGCTGGATTTGACGAACAGAGGTTATGTAAATTTCATTAAAAACATAGAGCTTGTTCTTAATACTCAAAATGCATAACTATTTTCCCTGTAAAGTTAAAGCCTTCAAATTGTCAGCATAATTTAAGTAGGTTTTGGGCGTTTATAATAAGCCATTTTCATTTTAATATTTTGATTAATGTATTAATGCGCTGGATTTTAACAACAGAGGGTAAGTAAATTTCATTAAAAATGTAGCGCCCTTTCTCAATACTCAAAATGCCATAACTATTTTCCCTGTAAAGCTAAAGCCTTCAAATTTTCAGCATAGTTTAATTAGGCATTGGGCCTTTATAATAAGCCATTTAAATATTAATACATCAATAAATGAATTAAATCAGTGTCATTTGAGCAACAGAGAGTGAATAGATTTAATTTCAAAATTTAGCCCGTTTGTGCATTAAAAATACAAATTGCATAAATGTTACCAATTCAACCTATTGTGTTAATGCACACAATCATCTAGTAAATTAATATTAATTCTGTGAATAATTCCACAGAAAAGATTTATAAAATAATGTATTATAATGGATAAGTTGCATTGAAAAAATGCTTATCACATAATATGTCAAATCCAATCATCCATGATTCAATCCATGAAATTGATAATCCAAGTAGCCATGCTATTTGAAATCCACAGTACAAATGATTATCACTTAATATTATTTTAGTACTTCTATAGTCTATAGTTCATTGAACGGCTGAATAAAAGAGATATATTTTCTTTCATAGAAAGATGATGGTCACAAGTTATGTGTTGGCTGAGTCCATGGCAATCCTGATCAAATTTGTAACAGTTATAGATACCATTGGTAATGATTCAGTTTATGACACAGATGAATGGAGTCCTGAGTGTATATACCATTGGAAATGAATGGTTTTCCACAATGGTTTACTTTGTGTCAATATTGTTGCTTCCACCCATCATGATGATAAATAGGAGTCCTGAGTATATAAATTGCCATATAAATGCAGTAGTTGGTGAAAAATATCAATAGCTGTTAAATTATGCTCTGGTGGATTGTCCAGTTGGACATGCAGTCACACCTGATAGGTTTTTGTTAAAACAGGAAAGACTGGTACAACAATTTAAGTGAAATTGTTCGTGCAGACACATTTTGGTATTAGAAGCCATATTCCAAAGACGTATCTAGAGATGTTTTGCGGAAGAAACACTTGGCACAGCTAGGTAGTCAGTACGTCTAAGCAGAAGAGGCATTATTTCCGCTTCATCGCAACACAAACTCCTTGTAATTCAATATGGTCTAGTAGTCCAAACAAACTGAAATAGAGATTGAAAATTGATTTAATTTAACACAAAATAAGCATTTTAACATAAGTAACAAAAGGTAGCTTATTTAATTTATATATGTCTTTAATTTAAGATTGTGTAATTCAGTGTGATAATATTGTAATTAAATTATTCATTAATTAAGACAATGGTTATTTTACTTATGCTGTATATCAAATATGTATAGATATTATACTGTGATGTTCTAAAATTACTTTTATTCAGATTAAATCAAGTAGTTTGTATCTCATATCCATTAAGTCATTAAGGAACATTATCAGATATAAATTTACTTATATAAAAAAGTCTTGATGAGTCCTCATGACAGCTCGTGCATCAATTGAAATGGACAGGCATGAATCTTAGGTAGTAGTACTAGAAGCACAGCTCCTCCAGAAAGTGGTGGGGACATGGCTGTGTATTTAAAAGAAAGAAAATGCTGAGGAATTTAAGAGATTTTACAACATTTTTCATATACAAACCAAAGATTGGGCTAAGTCTGAAAAGTCAAATATAACTGCTTTGAGCTAAAGCAGTTAAGTTTAGAGGCAAGAAAGACATATACAATTTTTAAAAAATAGGGTATACAAAAGTAAAATGAAAAAAGAGAGATAGGTTATGTAGAAGAAAAAGGTAAATAAAATAATGAAGTTGAATCAAAATAAATGATGACGTTTAGTTTAGTAGCTGCTGAGCCTACTACTACTACAACTATTCATTGTTTACAGTATCTAATCTGGGTTTAAGATAAATTATATCATTAAGGGCATTATTTAATTTCCAAATATATAATTCACTGTTGTGAAGTTTGATAATTATTACAATTACAACATATATTTAAATTACTCAAGTTGATATATCATATAGTTTTGACATGGTTATCACGGATGTAAATTTTATTATTTAAAAAAATGAAATTTCATAAAATTTTTATAAATTTGTTTTCATTCATGAAATAAAAACAAGTTTAATAATAAAAATGAACTGGATTGCTTTTAAAAACAATAGATTTATAAAGATTTTTAAATACTTCTTATGCAATAAGAATAATAACAACAGAGAATGGTTATCACTTCCGGTTCATTTGGCCTTATCGATAACTGATTATGAGCTATTGCTCAAATTTACAACCTGACGCCCTGTCTATACAATTTACGGCCTATCTAAATGTCATTATGTTTCTTGCTTCAATTAGTTAAATCGTTTTTACATTCAATACAAAAGGAATTAATAGCAATATAATGGTGTCCAAAATATAGCGCCAGCAAAATTACCTGTTTTCCCAACGAAAGATATCTGCCACAAGCCCTGTCAGTCCGGTGAAAAAGTTTATTTTGTAATGATCGTCCTCCTCGTGTACACAAAACAGACTATAGGAAGTTCATTGTCTCTCCCTTACGTAGACAAAGGAAACGAAATCTAAATATGACCCCATGACCTACCGGCATTGACCGTTCGCCTGTTAATGGTCTTTTTCTCGCATCCAAAAAATCGACCGGCTTAGTGAAGTACCTAATTTAGACAGACGGCAAAAATAACAAAATATTGCTTTAACTTAGTAATGAATAACTGCTGGCTTATCAACTGGCTAGTGGGAAACACTGTTAACACAACATTTTTTGGTGCTTTATTTTAGTAAATGAAATAGTACAGTATCACAACAAATTTTAACTTCATATTTTGAACATTACTGATTAATAATTAATTTACTAAAAGAAAAACAATCGTGGACATTTTTACCAATAATGAAATTTGCTAATATGTTTTATCATAATCATACATGTATGATACAGCCTACTTATCATAAGTCATAAACTATCCTGGTAACTCATAACCAAGCTTAATTTTAAACTATTAAAATTTGGAAATTTAATTTAGAAAACTGCAAAGTCTGTACGCATAAATAAAAACTGCACTCAAACAAGGGGCATTGGGGGACAATGGTCTTATTTAAAAAAAAAAAATTAATATGCTAAAAGTCCTTCAAGCACTAATAAAATAAATATGCATAGCTGCATAGGCCTAAATCTAAAATTGCATAAACAATATATTCCATGAAATTGTGGATAGATTTATAGAAGTATGACCAATAGTGCCAATACTAATTAGTTAGTTTAAGTCAACTCATTTTCATTTTGGCGTTACTTTGTAAATAGTACTTGTCATTTATTTCAAAGGAGTGTTGACTTAATCTTTTACTTTTAAAAGTGTTTTGCAATTTTTATTTTTAAAAACTATTTTCATTTCGATTTCATGAAAATAGTGACTTGAAACTTGATGAGGGATGATGATAAAATATTTTTTTAAAAAGCAATATAAATAAAGTTGAAAGTTGAAAGAAGAAAAAACGACACTTTACCAACATTTGTTTTTGATTTGGTTCTTTGCGTTTGTTGATGAATTCAATCATTTATTAGATTAGAGTGCCTTTATCAAGCCTTCGCCTAATTGAGTAATATTTACTACCACTCACTTATACATATCACTCACTACAATGACAATACAACTACAAACTTGAAACTACTCCGGTAATCCTGACCCTGGTAGACAAAACCTACCTTCTCTCATGTCAACTCGGCTTGTTGGCTTGCCTGAGTCAGCAGCCATTATTAAATACACAAATCTGAAATTCCCAACAACGCCATGCGTAACAAAGCTATTTGTGACGTTAGCGTCTAATCATAACATTTTCTGTCCCTCCAAGTGATTCATTCAGGGAACGCCATTTTTGATGAGCTCTAGATTGTTCAAGGGTAACCACTATAAAATTATAGCCATTTTAAAGTCGGTGGATTATGGCCCTTATCACATAACAATCTTTCTTTTTCTTTTTTCTTAATGCCACAGCAAAGGCCTCCCCAAAATTTCGCGGCCCACCGGCGCAAATGAAAACATACCAACAAATTTGAAACAACATTTGAAATTGTTTTGCTGAATAAAGATGTTTATTATTAAATGCCAAGCTTGACCGCTTATCACTTTTGATTTCTTTGAATTTAAATTTCAGCGAGCCGTCGTCAAACAAAGCGTCATTCTTCATTTCAGACTTTCCGGACTATTGAACTTGAAGGGAACGTTGAATTGTAAAAGTGTATGCAATAAAAAATTGTTATCGGATTCCACTATTTCTCTTTATTTATCTCTTTGTATTTCTTTTGCATCAATACCAGCTTATCCGGCTTATCAGATTAGTATCAACTAATGTAAACTTATTATTATTTCAATAACGATCCATTATACTGGTACTCATCTCATTTAAGTTGTGATGGCACAGCTGTTAATTCTAATTCTACGGCAGTGGTCGGAAAACTCATTAGTCAAAAGAGCTAAAGATCAGCAGCAGGACGATTAAAAAAATTTTGAGTGACAAATTTATTTTCAAGAACCTCCCAAGAACTATGTTTTTCAGAGTAAAAACAGATTTGTGGCTGACTGACTGAGACGCTCTCAGGTCGCTAAAGAGCCGCGATTTACCGACCATTCAGACCACACTGTTTTACGGTAAATTTCTTAAGTTCTTTGGAGCGATTTTGTTTGTCAAAGGTCAAGTTTCTGTTTGAGCCATTTTTAAAATGTATCGAAGCATGCAAATTCTCATTTTGAATTTGATTTAAAAAATACGGAGTGGCTATAGGTACCAGAGTACCTATAGTAGCAAATGGCTATGCGGACCCGGCTGGTCACGTGAGGTCTATATTATTCGGTTGGTCACGTGACTGATATGACCGGAGACTTCCTGTTGGTTTTGCCATCTTTACAGCCATTATTACCAATCGAAAAATGTGCTATATTTTCAAGACTTTTACGTGGCGCTGAAGATACAAGAATAATAGTGTGACGTACTGTTTAAACAAAGTAAGAATACGTTTATGTTTATAATTGTATGGTATTTTTAAATTCTAGTTTAAATATAGTTCTATAATCATTAACTTGACATCAAGTCATCAAGGTCAAAGCTGTTTTTTTTTTTTGACGGCAAATTGGCTACTGTCTTATCTATAATTGTAATTTGATATTAGTCTTATTGAATTTCAAACAAACCATACTGGGTAAAAGTGGAGTTCAGGTGGGTATGTTATTTCTTAACGCATTTCGTATTTTATCATGTAAACTTACGTGTATTCTTTATTAATTAAATACAGGCAGTTATAGTTTACTATACTATAATATAATAATAATACTGAATTTTAAATCGCATTTTTTCATTTTTCTTTTTATTTGATTTTTAAAAGAGTCTTTAAACTTTCCCCAACCAAAGTTACATAGCCCCATTTGTCTAGTATTTTTTTTGGCAGTGTCCACACGACCGGAGCTATTTGTCCGGCGACCAAGACACATGACCCCCGGAAGAATAGTAACACTTTATCGAGATATTTGTCCTGTGACCAAGTCACGTGACCGCTAGTTATTAAAAAGTATTGTTAATTTTAATATCTATTTCTCTACCAAGTAATGTACTGACTGAGTATCTTGCAAACAAATATTACCAAAACAAAGTGGGGGTTAAGCAATAATGCATTCTAGAAGTAGAAGGAAGCAATGCTGAGAGGGAGAGAGAATTACGGTAATAAAAAAAAAATATGTACGAATGCTAAAAACATAATAGTGAGGGTGATGAATAGTTAGTAATAGGCGGACTAGTTTAATATTCAAAGTCAAACATAGGTACTCCAACTCAAATTTTTAAATACATCTAACACACACAAAGAGCACACCATTGGAAAGAGCTGGCTTTAAGCTTTCTAATGACACCAAGATGATCTTTGTATCATTTATAGGAAAAAAGTTATGATTTTTTTAGTGATTTATTTTTTCCCTTTATTCGGCTTTGTATTTAATTTTTAAAACTGTGATCGAATTATTGCTCTGTTTGTACTATTTTGTTTGTATCCTTTTGACTATTAAAGTTAGAGCACTCAAATTTGGAGGAGAAATGAACAATATAATGTTTAACAAAAAAAAAAACACTTGAATTGTGAATTAACTTATTTTATTTTATAAAATATGACTTTATGAGCATATGGCGTGGATAACGTCAAGTGTCGAAATATTTAATTTTACAAAAAAATGACATAATTATTAAACCAATAAAGCTATTGCTATAAAATTTTCAAATCAAACAGATAATGTACATCTAAAAGTAAGACAAATTTAAAATAAATGAAATTCAGATGAGAAAAATGTATTAAATATTAGAAAAATTATTTCAATATAAGCAACAACGGACGAGAAATTTTTACATTTAAATACATAACTTTTAAATTAATAAGGCTACTGCAATGAAATTTTCAGTACAAATAGATAGTCACAATTTAAATGTAATGGAATATTCAAATATTTTAAAGGTAATTAAAATCATGAAATACAAAATTCAAAAATGTCATGTAAGTTGTCAACATTGAAATTGATGTACCGGTGCATTTATAAACATTCAAGATATGGTTCGTGGCTCCGGAGCTCTAGCAACTCTTCATCCTCACTAATTGGCAGATTAAAAACATCTTCCTCTATTGTCAAAATAAAATTGATTTGTGTCTGAATCTCCCTGAATCTCCTCCAGGTTGGCAGTGCATGTCCTTGTTTGGAATCCTATGCCTATTATTGAAAAAACAAATAAATAAAAAAGATATTAGGAACACATAAAAAAATCAATTTTTTTAAACAGGTTACACAATGTTCTTTAGGTGAGGAAGATTTATATTTATTAATAACATGGGACAAGAGGCTGTCTTAATTTCTTTTCATGTCACCTCACTCTTATCTTTCTATAATATAATTTAGTACTGTGTGTATAGATAGAATGATAATTTATGTATTGTTGGAGCAAATATATGAACTATATAAGGCCTTAAGTAAAACTACTATTAAACACCGTTATTAAAAGTGAAAATTGAGGTAATCAAACTAGTTTATTATAATACAGCAAATATTTATTAAACTGTTTGAAAAACGTTTTTAATAATATAATACCACTGTTTGCATTAGAGATTTACCTCTTCCGGTAGGTCAAGTGAAAAAAAAAATGGCCTCCAACCGCTGTTTTTAACTTTTTTTCACATGTTGACAAGAATTGTAAATTCCTGCTATTATCTATATTGTTTTAAATAAGTGATTCATTTTTAGCAATTTGTAAGCTATGCATCCAAGTAATTTCCAAGTCCATCAACCATTTAAAAAAATTTAAAAAGCACGGCGAAATCTTTTACCCCACTTTCACTTTACAACAGATCATCTCAGCGTAGTCGGATTTCCACTTTATTTATATCCTCGTAACCGTCATGCACCGCGGATTCAAAATAAAATAAGGAGGTTCATCTATTTTAAGAAATGACGCAAAACAACGCTAAGTCACGACAACTACCGAAAACGGTCAGTGCCAGCTGATCACAGCGATAGGAGGCGAATAGCCCGCGTCTTCCTACTGCCCGCGAAGCGAGTATTGGAGTGCCTATCAAACACTTTATGCATCTCAGCGCATATGAATATATTAACATGTTCAGCATTTATTTATTATCTAGGGATCGGAATATCAAATGCAATATTACTTTTTTGTCGGCGACCACTTGCCACATGTTTAACGAAATTTTCAAACTGTAGGCATGTTCACAAAACGCACGAGCGCACTCCTTCCCCACCCCGACTATCTTTTTTTTCCTCTCAGAGCGCTTGAGAATATGGGTTGTCCCTTAAAGTCTTGGGGGGGGGGGGATTAGAAGTGGATCACCGACTAAGGCAGCGGACACACACGTCATCATTGTCCTGGAGGGAAGCTGAAAAAAAAGGGGGGGGGGCCCCAGAATATATCCCAATGTGGGTTCACGTGTCCAGGGGATTAGAAGTGGATCACCGACTAAGGCAGCGGACACACACGTCATCATTGTCCTGGAGTGAAGCTGAAAAAAAAGGGGGGGGGGTCCACGAATATATGCCAATGTGGGTTCACGTGTCCACTTTTTAAAAAAAATATTTGTGGACGTTGCAGGAAAGGGGAAATCTGATCATTTATTGATAGTCATCTCATACTGATGGCTGCAAATACGTTGTCCATGATTGGCCAGCTCTAATTTGAGCATCCCTCCCCTTTTTTCTTATGCGCTTATTAATGGTGACTGATTTGGGCTGAGTAAAATGAGGGTGAGGGCTAGTGATTATATAGAATAAGACGGACTCGTTTTGAGATATTGCTGGTAGTGGGATCATTTTGTTCAAAATGGTAGGACGACCAAGATACAATAATTGAAATTGTTGATCCAACGGAAATTTTAAATGGTGGAGCATTTGGTTTATATGCGAACTTTGTGAGGCAACAAATAACGTAAATACAACTATGGAATTTCTCGTAAGGCGCTCGTAACAATTGCTATGTGGCTTGTAAACTGGCTACATATGCCAAGTATGAGAGTTCCTTATAACTACCGGGATCTGGATCTCACCGGAAACGGTATCTAACCAGAAACGGGCTCTCACCGGGCTCAAGATCCTACCGGGATCTGGATCTCACCAGAATGGGATCTCATTTGGATTGGGATACCACCGAAAACGGGATCTTATTGGGATCCCACCATGACCGGGATTCTACCAGAATCGGGACCTATCGGGATCCATCATGATCCTCCCGGACAACGGGATGCCATCAGAAAACAGGAAAAACGAAAAGTTTGCTTAAGTTATTTTAGAGACAAATTAATTATTTTTAAAAAATATAGTGGTGTTGTTTTGTTGTTTAAATTT